CGCATCGCCTGTGCGGTGTTTCGGAAACTCCGCGTCCTCAAAAAGAGGATCAACACCCTCGCCACCTGAGGGGGTGTCATTCCCCATTCCACTCGTACGCCGGATGTAATCCATAAACACAACGACTATGCCCTTTTCCACAAAGGCGTACAGGCCTTTATTTGGCGATAACGCGCACAGTCCACCCTCATCTGACGCCAGGACTTCCATCGATCAACTAAAACAGCTGACGCAGCCACAACCAACACCAACAATTCTCCCACTCTTTTTCGCTTCCTGCTGCTTTCTTCAAGGGGGTTTCCCCGCCCAAGTATACCTTTATATTTATAAATCTATCTATGTATGTGCCGAAGGGGGGGGAATAATAATAATAATAATAATGCTTTCCTCCCTTTCTTCACCCTCGCTCTTCAAATCACCATGCGCTGGCGTATAGGGAAGAAAATAATAATAATAATAAAAATAATAAAAAACAATGTTCATCCATCAATCATCAAGAAATAGGAGGAAACAAACAAACAAGCAACAAAAGAGTAAAGAGGTACCAACACCGAGAAGGGAGAAAACAACAACAACAACAACCAACCAACCAACCAAGCATAAATGAGAGCCATACACACTCGCGTTCTACAAACAAGCGTGACTTTATTCCCATGTCATTCATAGATGTCCCACCCCACCCCTTCACACTTACTCCCAATTTCCATCCGTTATATACCTTACCCGTCATTCGTACCTCAAACATATCACCACCGTCTCTTCCGCCCACCTTCGGTCAATCGTCAATTCCCTCCTCATAACTGCCACCATTACTCAAAAGCAGAGTCACTAAAGGAAGGGTGGTTGTCTGCACCACGTCTCCCGTCACTGTGACAAACACAAACGCACACCCTGAGCCATCGGAATCCCACACCTCATGATATGTCACACAGTGCTTCAGTAAAGCGTTTCCTCCCATAAGACACACCATTGCCTGCACCAGGCATTGCATCTCAAACTCTGTCTTCTGAAAGAAAACACCAAGATCTTCAGAAGAGTCAATCTCGTAGGCTTCACGAATAAAGTGCTGTGAAAGACGGCCCACATATCTCGCAATGGACCTCCCTGCCACAAAATCTAGTGGAGTAAAAATTATACTAGAATCGTTCGCTTCAAGCGTCTTCAGGTCCATAGGGAGTCGCTGCGCTGGCTGATGCAATATCGGGCCACCGCTGCCTGTAGACTTCAGGGAATTGGCACCGTCACGATGACGAGCATCAACACCTCCCTTTCCATCTGAATTCAGACCCGTTTTCTCCATCAAATTACGAACAGCTGTAGAGGCAAGTAGAGCTAACGCTTGCCATTGCCGCTCCATCATTCCGGGACGTGCTCGGTTATCTTTATAGTAACCATAAACGTCAGACGCGGTTAAAGGTGCAGAATTTGTACCTTCACTGGACCCCAAAACAGGAGGTGATACATGACGCTCAAATACAAAAGGAAGCGCATATGGTGCATTACTCATCACAAAGATACGACGTTCAATGTTCCGCAGCATGACTTTTTCACCATCGCCAAAGCTCCCAAAGCCAGAGCTCCTGTTCCCATCTAACGTGGGAACACTACCTAGTGATCCATGAGGTAAAGTACTGGTGTCCTGCGACGGTGGATGTATATCCGCTGAACCACTGGGATTCCCGTACACAATTGGTCCAGGAAGTGGATACCGTTCGATGCGTCGCATACACTCCATAAAAGATCTCTCTTCCAACTCCATCAATCGCACTCGCTGTGTTGTGGTGCGCAACATCAGGCAACCCTCCAATCGCAGTTGCAAAGAACAGGAGTTGGGTTCAAAGAAGAAATCAAAGGTAAACCCCATCACATGCAAACGTTCTAATGGGCAACGGCAACACCGCATTGCTACACGACAGGCAACCTGCACAAAGGCCTTTTTGGCATTTGCAAAACACTCATTTATTTTTCCCGTAGTAACAGACTCATTGTGTATTCGCTGAAATACAAAACGACGGTTTATCACAATACGCTTCTGAGATCCGTAGGTATTGGCCCATTCCGGTACGTACGGTATTGTGAGGAGTAAACTGTGTTCAAAGGTTAAATCAGCACTCATGCCAAGCATCATCTCTGCCTCTTCCTCATCGTCAATTTTGAGAACATAATCACATGCTCTGCTGACCCTACCGATTCCGTGGGGGCCCTGATCACTTCCCGATTCGGAACTCAATTCTCCATCGCCCCCTGCCGTCTCAAACGGATTGGAATCTTCCATCTGGACCGCCGACGACGAGCGTGACGATGAGAAAGATCCCTGATGTTCTGCACCCATTGGGGGAAAATTTCGATGTTGGTGTCGCTTTAACCGAGTATGCTGCGCCACAAGTTCCACCAAGCGCATGACGGTTTTGTTACGTTGTATTGCCGGGTCAATAAATTTCAATCGAGGCAAGGATGGTACTGGAAGGGCCACAAGACGAACGCCAGTGCCTGTCAGTGTACCGATGATTGTGTCCGAGGCGATGCAAACCGTAATTCGAAGCCCAAAAACGGCATTTAACTTTTGCAGTCTCAGATGAAAAATTAACTGCTTGTGCAAGGAGTACTCAATGTAGGGAAGTGCCTGTGACACAGCGAGGGCAAGGTCCACCCCTCGCACGGCACTCTTTGCCTTGGACACAACGGTATGTACAAGTCGGGGTTGTTCTTCACACATGAGATCCTGCGGCATGGTACATGAAACAAGCAGCACATCTGGTACGGATTTGCGATGGCAGAGATTACAAACCGCAGGACATTCCATTTCTCCAACAAAATCTTTTAAGCGTAAATTTGGATAAAATAAATGTAACATAGAGCAATTTTTCTGTGCGCCAAAACGTCCTCGTGCAGTTTGGTAAAGATATTCCGGACCACAACGAAGTGGAAGCATCGTCGAGTTCAGTACCACTGCGGTTCCAGAGAGCGATAATACGGCCACATCCTCATGATACATGACAACTTCTTCATATCCCAAAATGACGTTACAATGAAAGGCCCGTGCATTTGCCTTAAGTTCCTCCCGTAACTCCATCCACCATGAATCACGCTCTTGCGATATCAGTTGTTTAGATTTCATTTTGGCAACAATTTTTACAGATCGTGCGCTAATGTATCCTCCAATGTGCTCTATCATACCAGAGGGAAGATCCTTGAGTGTCAATATAAGTACATTGGAACGTGCCCCTGTTGCTGTTTGCTGTGCAATTAAACTTGGGAATCCATAATCGGCCTTTGAAAGGTTCATTGGGTAATTATCACAAGGCATTGAGGTAACTTGTGGATAAACTGCGGGTGATAATAAGCACGTTTGAGGGGGGTTATTGGATGCCAGTTGCGGAGGCGTAGGGAGCTCAGCTTCTGGGAGCTGCAAAAATGAAGTTTCCGGCGCTGATGTACGCTGTTGCATCGGTGAGGCAAAAGTCACTCCTGATCCCGGAACGACCCCCGCAGCAGTCAAACCGCCCGCCGATTCCGCAGCCTGCATATGCAACGTTGTGACGGATGGATCGTGCGCTGGTGTAATGGTGCCGGAGGATATCTCCGTGGCTCGCAAGGCCACCCGTGTGCTGTCCGGCATGAGGCGCTCCGCCCTCTCTCGATCCACAAACTTAATTGCGGAGAGGACGCATGGAGTACCGTAGGCCCGAACAATAATACCATTTGACTCCATATCAAACTTCTCCACATACCCAAGCACCGCGTTGCACTGCATCTCCACAACTTTACGAGCCAATTGACGCCGTACTTTCCCACTGAGTTTGTAGAGTTGAATAATACGCGCCTCGTTCGTGGAGCGGGTACTACGCAGGTTGGTCAGCTTCGAGTGCTCCGGGTCTGCCTTCACAATGAGCTCCTCCACCATGGTGAGTACCGATTCAACACGGTACACGGAAGGGTCCAAACGCCATGCCGAGAAGATGAGAATACCCTCCTCTTCCGCGGCGATGGAAGGATGCTCCATCCGCGTGGCCCGCAACGGCTCAAAAGCTTCCGCAAGATACATATCGAGTTGCGGATTCGGGAGCAACAATTGATGATCCTCCGCACGGCTTCTTTGATCGACATCGGGCAGGCTAAAATGTGGGGCATAACGTATTGGAAGTCGTGGTGCAAGTGGGTTTTCCGCGTTATGAAATTTTATTTTTAACGTGAGGCGGATTTCCCCACGAATGCCCTTTGCGTTTGTGTCAAAGAGTGGAAACCAGCCGCTCATGGAGGGGTTGCTCTGCAGCACCATGGAGTTGCAGTCAATAAATGTAAGTCCGACAATGTCATCGCGACTGATGATGTCATGATCGTAAAGACGCACCTCCAGTGGGTCCTCCTGCAAAATAAAAAGATCGGGCGTGTCAATACGGAAGACGGTGTTCCACACAGGATGCCGTGACATGTGCACAATCTCTGTGGTGTACTCCAAGTCATTTAACCGCACAACGACGTACGGGTCAGCAAGGCCGGTGGTGCGATCCATTATGGGAAGGTCCCAGGCCTCATGCACCGTCACCTTGAGAGTCGCCATTTGATACAAATCAGAGAAAAAAGAAGACCACGCGCTTGCTATCAGAACGAAGCCCTCAACTAAAATAAAACAACAACCCACCAAAAACAACAACAAATACAAAAAAAAAAAAGAAGATTTTTTTTTTTTTAAATTATTATTATTTTTTATATGGCGCTTGTGCAAACGGATCTTCACAAACACACGCACATGCACTTACATTACAAATTGAGGGTGTAAGAAAGACACATAAGCAGATAAAGAAGGGGAAGATCCAACGGGATTTGCTGCGGTCAGACACTGTGAAATGCAGAGCCCGCCCACAGCTAGACGGTAATTAAAAATTTCTTGCGGATAATGAAGCACTGCTGAGGGGGGGGGATTCCAGAGACTGACGGCCTCCCTCCCTCCCATTCCACTCCCAGTAAAAGGGGAAATAACACTGCAAACAGTGAGTTCATCACAGGAGTTCCTCAGCTTCTTTATCGGCCATATCTCTTGAGAGACGTGTCCACATGGCCCTCAGCTCGGCAAGGAAACAGACTTGTGGATTGACAACAGGACGCGCTTCCTGCAAGCACCGTAAAAGCTGGCGAAAAGAAAAGATGTACGCATCTTCAATGTCATCTTCAATATTTGATGCAATTGTCTCTTCCAATATCGTATGGCGAGGAGTAAAAGAGAGTGTGTAGAATTGCCGACAACACTTTTGCATGTAGTACGCCATGATAACACTGGGACTACGCGACACGCCCTTCATGCAATGAACCAAAACTCCAGGTAAAGAGTGTGCAGTGCATACGACGCCATATTCGTCTTTTGCCAGTGTTACTTGTCCCTGTGGCTCCCTGAAGTCGTGGATAGTCTCTATAGAAGAGAAGGCATTGCTACTGTTGCTGTCATAATCGTCATCAGAGGCACGTGGCTGAGGCAAGAGATCAATGAGCGAGTCATCTAAAACCAACTCCGAGAGGGGCATACTGTACTCGTCATCGTAGCACACAATCGGAAGTGTAAATGCCCTACCATTGTTATGAATAGTGGTATTAGTGTTATTATTTTCCTTGTTTACATGAGACCTGTATTGATGTGTCGCTTCCAACAACGACGCAACATGACGATGCAATAAATAAAGAAACTCGTCTGTATTCTGTTGCTTGTTGTTGTTGTTCCTCTTGCTATAATCATTGTCGTACTCGGCACCGCGTTCCATCAGGCGGGAAAGTCGCACCAGTTCCTGCAAGAGAGCTGTCGATTCCTTCACAAGAGACATATCCGCGTCCACAATCCAATCCATGAATGCGGTTGCAACATCAATGACATCCGCAAGACGCGATGTGACATTGTCATCAATGTGCATAGGAAGGTAATACAACGGAACCGAAAGGGTCGCCGGTTCCTCATGGAAGAATGACGACAGAAACGATGATGCATGACCTGTTCTATCGCCACTTATTTGGCTCTCGTGTTTTTCACTCGACTGCCATGGTGGAAGAAGTTTCTGCATCTTCTCATAACGTCGACAACGCAGCAGCCACAGCAAACACGCCTCTAAACCCCGCAGGAAGCGGTGCTCCGACTCCAATATTAATTGCCGGTATTTCTCCTGCCTCGTCTCTCGCACCGCTTTCTTTGTGGCGCAGTCGGCGTTGGGGCCCGGCGGAAGGAACAGGGGAAGCGGTACGCCCACAACACGCACCAACAACCGCGGGGACGTTTCGTGCATTCCAAAGGAGAAGGTGAGGCCGTTGCCACAACGGTCCAAAAACGTCGATTCCGGGGGTGGCGGAATACTCCCCGACACGATAAGAACCCCACGAATCCACCGATTTTCCTCCGCATCGAGTTTGCCCCCGTCCCCCAAGTCCGTTCCTTCCGTCGGTGATGCGGCGACGACGGCCTGCCGCTCGCCGTGGAAAATCATGTTTTTCGTTAAATTCCCGCGGCGTGCCACCGCCGCGCTCGTAAGAAACACGCGACCGGTTTTTGGAGCCGCGCCGCATATCTTCTCGTGTGCGGCACTAAAAAAAGTTGCGTGGACGGCACGCGACACATCCACGAGACGGTCGCCCATGCGGGCCGCCAGGAGTTCCGCCAATAGACGTTTTTTCTCCATGCCGCATTCCGGCGGGGGCGCAGTCATCGTCGCCGCGGCCTTTCGGCTGTTGGAAGTCAATGAACCCCCACACCCGTTTTTTTTTTTCTTTTTTTGTTTTTCCGCCCCCTCACCCCTCCACACAATAAATAAAAAAAAAAAAAAAGGGAAAAGAATGAGAGATGGCCGCCCGTTGGCCAAAGAAAAACAAAACCAACGGCCCCAATCATGATGATTGCGTCCCCCTCCCCTCCCCCCTCTCAAAACAAACAAAAATAAACGAAAATAAATAAGAAGACGCATGCAAAAGGGCCGACAAGGACACACACAAAAAAAAAAAAAAAAAAAAAAAAGGAAAGATAAGAAGGAAAGAAGAGAAAAAAAATAAAATGAAAGAAAAAAAAAAAAGGTCAAATGAAAATCCCTCGCACAACTTTCGGTACACGCCTTCAGATGTACAATTCAACACATTTCTTTTGCTTTGTTGTTGTTGTTGTTGTTATTCTTCTTTTCTTCGTCTGCCTCCATTATTATTATTTTTATTATTTTCTTTTTTTTTTTTTTTCCTTCCCTCTCTCTCTCTCTCTCTATCGGGTGTTATCTTTTCATTCATTCTTTTTTCCTTCGTTTTGGAGACCGGCGTCTGGAATGGCCTCCCCGCCGCTCATTCCACTGGGACCGCTGCGTCCTAAACGCATGCTGGCGGGGGAACTTCCGTGGAATCCGTGGAACTGGAGTTCCTCCGAATCTCCAACACTCTCATGAGTTCTTCTACTTCAGGGTGATGCTTCAAAAAGAGCGACCAGAGAAATCTGCGCCCCCTCACGGCATCCACAACCTCCTTCGCCTCCACCGCTCGCACGTGTGTTGCCGTGTCATCGGGGTCAATTACCGGTTCGTATCCTTCATTTATAAAGTAATTACTTTGCAGCGCTTCCTGAATAGTTATGCGTTGGCTCGGGTCGTAGCAGAGAAGTCTTTCAATGAGCCTAATTTCCTCCTCATCCACGTCACCGTATGGGGACTGCAACAGGCTCCTCAATGTCGAAGACTTGTGTAAATGCTGCTGCATTTCCCGCCGCATTACACTTTCAAACAACTTTTGTGTGTCCTCATCGCGCTGCTGCAGAATACGTTCTGCAGCCTCCTCAGGGAGTTTGCCAAGGACACCCATGATGGCGTTGAGTTGGCCGACACCACCCCTGTGCCGACAGTAGAAGAGTGGCCGCCCTATAAGCATTTCCGCCGCGATGCAACCAATGGACCACACGTCCGCGGCATGCAACGTTTTTTGGTCAACAAATCCGGAAGGTGAGGAGACATTGGCCAGCGTCAGCGTCTCTGGCGCTGCGTACCACTGTGTGCAGTTGTCTAAAAACGTTTGGAGAACTCCATCCAATTCCGTTGCAACGGCGTCACGGCCCTGACCAAAATCGCACACCCGCGTGTTGTAGTTGCGATCAAGCATAATATTCTCCGGTTTAATGTCACGATGAATGACAAGGCACAAATGCATGTAGCCTACCCCGCGTAGTAACTGGTAGAGGATAAACATGCGGTAGTCACGAGCAAGTGGGTGCAGCACGAGATGTGTCTGAGGGCAACGCGCAATTCGCTCATTTCTACGCGCTGTGCTTTTATTTATATCGTCATGAGCACCGTCATCATGCTTCTCTGTTCCTGCTGAACTTGTTATTTTCCCATTGGACTGTTTGCCACCCTCGTCCTGGGTATCCGTTGTGGTAAAGACACTAGACTCAAGCACTTCCCGTAGTGTGTATTCCATTTTTTTCATGACAATATAGACACTATCAAAGTTATGCCGAAGATACTCGACGGACTCGTACGTCATTCTTTCACAATCACCCAGTGGGATAAAAAAGTCCAAGGCGGACATGACATTCTCATGTTTAAAGGCCATCATGAGTTGAATTTCACGTGTGGCACACAACCACATGCGTGGTCTGTTTTGCTCAAACAACTGCCGCAGCTTCTTCACCGCTACTGTGGTGTGGCTCTCGTAGATATCAAGACGCTCCTCTTTGGAGAGGGAAGGGTCATTGTACTCCTCGGGAGGGCTCATGTGAAAGTTTTCCACCAGGTCATTGTCCGTTGCAGCACAGACAAAACCGTACGCCCCTTTTGCAATGGGAGCAATCGCCTCGTACCGTGTCCGCAACTCAAAAATCTCCGGAAGCTCCTCCCCCTCGTCATTGCGGAAAACAATCATAAAACGCTTGGAAGCCAATGGATGGCGACAGATGGTGGTTATCAATGACATTCTTTTTTTTTTTTTTTACCCCGTCCAATAACTAATGGACGGTGATGCGCACTTACACGCCTACACGCAGAAAAAAGGAAGAGGGTTAGGGGGTATAGACTTGACCCAATTCCCTTTTAACGTCCACGTAATTCCATTAGGCCAGTCAATAAATAAAGGAGAAAAAGAAGGGAGGGAGGGCGTACAGAAGCATACACACACATATATACTCACCCGAACCAATTCTTCTTTATGCGTCTGGAGAAAGGCCATAAAACACAATCCAAAGCAAAAAGGGCTTAGAAAAGTCTTATTCGCAGGTGAAATGGAACTCTTACAGAGAGGTATACAAACATCACCTCATGTCCTCCAGTGCAGGGTGCCAGCAAAATGGGGTAGAATCACGACGCATTTACAATGACTACGAGTCGCCGTAACAACATCTCTTCACTCACCCACGTTATCATCCTCTCCGTCTTCTTGCAAGAGAAAACAGCTCACATCGTGCCCACTCAGCCGCCAACGCACGTTTCGCGTCTCGACTATATCCTTTTCCCTACCCGTTTCTGCAGTGGCATCTGCAGTCCGCATCAGTGCCTCCATCCGTACCGCCAAGGAAGAGAAGACGTCCAGTGAGCCACTGTCTGACAACTCCGTTATTCGCCGTGCCCATTTCTCGCCCGTGCGGTTGTTCCGTGTGTTTATCTCTGACGACACAACAGTGATGAAATCATCCGGAAGGCCCTGCAAAAAAGTCATACAGGCTTTGCAAATGAACCGCCGTCTTCCTTTTTGGGGCATAACGGCATGTTCGTCAGGAACAGGAATGAGACATGCACAAAGCAAGCACAGTTGATGGGTACGGTCGTCATTCCGTGGGGAGAACGGCTCCATGCCGCTTCCGCCAAACCATGAGTAGTGTGGGGGTTGCATCGTCTGCAACTTTTCATAGTGGTGCTGAGCCGACTTTCCAAGTATGACACGTTTCGCCTGCTGCTGCGATGCTCCACGTTGTGGGTCCACACATGTAAGCTCTGGTGCCGTCTCCAAATGGAGTTTGTTGACCGTATTTAACACGTTAAATACAGAGGTGCGGTACGTTCGCAGCATATTGTTGAAAAATAACTCCAGCGTGCGATTCATAGACCGCAGACTCGTCTGGGTGCTCAGTGAAGGGGAGTATGCCGCATGGATGCCCTGTGTGCGGCAGTACATCACAAGCTCATGTGGCAGCATGGTGCGCAGTGGGCGCAGGACAAGACATTGACCGACAAATCCACGATAACCAGAAAGATGAACGGTATTCTGGCCGTTCCCGCTCATAACCTCACGTAGCGTCGTCATACAGCAGCGAAGGGCGTTCTCTCCAGTCAACAAATGATACCACCCAACGGCACTTGGTGCTTGCCTTGTGCGGTGCCACCGATGAATACGTTCCAAGGCGGCAGCCGTCAATACACGTTGCCGCAGCCGTTCATACAGGAGCTCCCGGTCCGATAATGACAGACGAGAATGATGCAAAACCCCACGAAACGCCTGCAACTCTCCCGGTGCTAAGTAATCGCTGTAGCGCACCACACACACCTCACCCTCCGCGAAGAGAGGGGTACTGGCAAATTTCCACTGTGTGCACTGCGTCCGTATCATCGTCTCCAGTTTTTCAAACTGCTCGGTCATGGAAGCAGCAACACAACGCAGTTCTTCCTGCCGCGGATCCACCCCCGCATTCTCTTCCGCCTCATCAGCCAGCAGCGGCAAAACAAGCTCATCCTCTCGCAGGTGGAACGGAATAAATGTAAAGGTGACTTGACCACATTCTGGACGCATTCGGTTTTGTGCCCGCAGCACTCCCAGCTGATGGAGGATGGACATGGAGCTGTGACCGCCTGAAACTGCAACAGCAAGCGGCACCTCACACGGCATGCCGCAATGCTTAAATAAATTGTCTCGTATCTGCCGTGTGCAGAACTCAACAAAACAGTCCGCGCAGTACGGCTTGGTGGCACCGTCACGGCTTCGAAAAACGCCCTGCGACTGCTTACACTTGAAACACACCGCCATTTCCGGTCCGTCTCTACAAATAAAAAAAAAAAAGAAAAAA